AATATAAAAAAACTGTTTAATATAATATGACCTATTTTTATGGCTTAATAAGTCGTTAAAAATTGTAAAAATCGTGATTTTTTAAACACTAATTTTACTTAGTTTATAATCAATTTTGATTATTTTAATAAAGAGAAACTTGTTTTATAATCGTTGTTTTCGATAGTTAATGATGTTAATACCTATAAATTAATCAAATAAGTTTCGTTTCTATTGTTTCAAAATCATAACAATTTTTATATCTAAAAATCACTTTTAATTTTTTTTTCAATTTAGTGTACCTTTTTGATAAGTTTAAGAATTTGGGGGGACTGTTCATCATCGAAAAATTATTGTAGGACATCATCACAAGGAAAAAACAAATGTTTGGGAAAAAATGCCTGCTTCTTATTATTACAAATATTTTAATTTGTCATTTTCTCTGACTATATCATTTATAGTATACGCCTAAAATGCATTCAAATTTCGTTAAAAAAGTCGGTTAGATTGATTTTAAGAAAAAAAATGGTTTCTAATTTTTTGTTTTTTTTTTTCGATTTATTTTAAAACCAAAATAGGCAGAAGTCTCAAACTTGCAGGATCATGATAACTCATTAGTACCAAGATACCCTGAAAAAATGATGATTCAAATATCCCTTTGGGGCCGTTTCACCATGCTTATCGTCCTTATGTATTTTTTAAAGCAATTATATCTTCGCTGCATGGCTTTTATTTACATAATTGATTTCGATGAAGAAAAATATAAAGCACGTCTCAAGTTCTTAGTTTTTTTATAACTATATAGATGTTGGGTGTATCATTTTATTTTGATGTAATTAATGAATTTTCACAGTATTACGACACTTAAAATTTATATTTTAAAAAGGTTATACCTAAATACAAAATGTTTTTCCATTGTCAGTGCAAATAATATAATTTTACTAATTAATCATTTAATGATGTCCCATTTCTGTTAATTTGCTGTTAATGTTATTACATACTTGCAAATGAGTAAATACAGGTAAATGCTTTTTGATGGAAATTTTATTATTTAATTTAGATGAGTGTTGGTGAGGAATCATTTTGGTAATTCCAGTTACTAATCTTATTATGAGGTCCTAAAAGTAATTTATACATTTATAGATACCTATTTTATTAAAACTTTTAATAATATTACAATAAATTTTATTTAGTGAACAACCAAACTCATTATTTGATTGATGTGAAATTATTAAATAATCAAAATTAAAATGTTTTGTCTGCTTGGTCTAATTTTGCTATTCATGTTATATCTGTACTATTTTTGGAGTTAAAAACACATTTAAAGAAGAACAGGAATTTTAATATATTTTTAACTCGTAGAACAATAATACAATATGCAATCTAAATCTGGTACAATACAATAACCATTATAATTTCTTATTTATCTGATAATGTGTGTTGTTACTGCTTTATTACTTTATTTAAAAAAATTTTAAAAATAATTTTATTTCTCATTTTCTCATTATTAAGTGTATAGCATACAAATAAACCTTGTGTACTTTATGATTTTTGAATAATTACTTTATAAATTAAAAATTATACACCTGTCAGTAATATTTTGAACGTGTAGTAGGTATATGAAATTAAATATTACAAAGGCAAAATTCAATAACATATTTATACACGAAGACTGCTTTTTATACGTATCTATATGTGTACGATTTACCACATTTTTTTAAATTTCTATATGTATATACGTTTTTGTTTCCTCCATATTTATTTTTGTACCTATATATATTTGGGTAGCCAAAAAACTAACTACTTTTTGGTCGATTTCGCATGATATCTAGTTTATTATGATTAAAGGACGTTGTTAAAAAACAACTCGATTAAACACTTTAAATGGTCCTACATGAATTTCAAAAATTGAAAAAATTGCAAAAGTCAATTATTTTGTTGATATATACATCATGCTTTGAATGATATTCTGTATATATAAAAAGTCAATAAGCCTCTCAATATTTTAGCTCGAGAAAATTAATTCATTAGTTTTCAAAATTTTAATTTTTTAATGTTTTCCAGTGACTATAAAAACGCATTTTTTTCTACTTTCTATCCTTATTATAATGAAATTTTGAGAGACTATTTATTAGTTTATCTATAAACATCTACTGAAACGTGAACAGAAAATAAAACAACAAAATTCCATTTTTGCTATTTCTCCATTATATAAATATTTAAAATCCAAAAATTTTGGTTTTAAGTGTTTATTTAGTTACTGTTTAACAGCATCAGCACGCAATTATATTTTTTGTATTTTTCTAAAATTAAAATTCTTTCTAAAAAGTGACTGAAATTATCAACCAAACTGAAACATTCAAAATAAGCACAATTTTAGTAATTTTTGTATATCCACAACTTTTTTTAAACATGGAGAAAATTAATGTGGGCGAAATAGGTGTCCATTTTTAAATAAAAAGTTTGTGGTATATGGTAAAGTATTTCATTCATTTGAATTCAATGCTGAATTCAAAAATTGTAAATAAAGTTATATTAATATTTAAAAAGCAGTCAGTTTAGCACATTTGGTAAAAAACTGAAAACCATTTTATCGTAAAATGAATATGTGCTGGTTACATACAATTTGAATTTTTTCTCTGAACACTTATTTTTGAATAATTATTAGCATTTAAAAAATGTTTACAATAGGTAATCAGATAAATATTTATATGATTTTAAACATATTTAGAATAATTACATATAATATAACTATTTCAAGTGGGAACCCCAAAGAGGGTGGGGATATATTACCCTTCTCAATCGATCTAGGAATATAAATAGGAGAGCAGACTAATGTAAATCATTAAGCAGTGCATCCGGTGTTTAGTTATTTAGTTACAAATTGACTAATTAATAAGCAAGTAACCATGGTTCATCAAATTAAGGTAAATTTCCAAAGCATTATTACTGTTAAATATTTCATTAAACTTATTTTCTTAAAATTTATAGATTTGCATGTTCATTTGTTTCGTATTAATCGCAACTACCTCTTCAAAACCGACTCTGGGCAGTATCAGGCATGGTTTCATTGGTTCCTTCGGACTCAGTGGTGGTTTACACGCCAGCCGAACTCACCAAGATAGCCTGGATCACAATAGTGGGTTTATCAATCAGGGACAATCTAGTGGGGGGCATATCCGAGAAGGATCCTACAGAGAGGGTTCGTTTAGGGAAAGTAACTTTGATCAAGGAAGTCATTTGAATGCTGCAAATAATCACTTAAATCAGGGCAGTTTAAATCATGGTAGTTTTGTTTCCAATGGGCAACAGTTTGAAACGAATGGTGGTCTGGGCATCTCTCCAGGATTTGTTGGAGGAATCGATAGTGCTGGAATAAATTCGGGTTCAAACCTTGCAACTGGAAGCGTAGGTCATCGTACCGGACTGGAAGCCAGCGTAGGTCATCGTACCGGACTGGAAGCCAGCGTAGGTCATCGTACCGGACTGGAAGCCAGCGTTGGTCATCGTACCGGACTAGAAGTTGGCGTTGGTCATCATGCCGGACCAGAGCGTAGGTCATCGTACCGGACTGGAAGCCAGCGTAGGTCATCGTACCGGACTGGAAGCCAGCGTAGGTCATCGTACCGGACTGGAAGCCAGCGTTGGTCATCGTACCGGACTAGAAGTTGGCGTTGGTCATCATGCCGGACCAGGAGCCGGGGTCGGTCTTCTTACCGGACTTGGAGCCGGTGTTGGTCATCATGCCAGACTGGGAGGTGTTGTTACTGGACTAGGAGCTGGCGTCGGTCATGGTACTAAGGTCGGTCTTGAAGGACGAATCTATAAAGAAAAACTTATTACGTGAAACACATGTATTTTATTTTATTTGTTGGTTGAAATAAAACTTTTGTTATGAATATGTTCTTATTTTTCTTGAATTCCAAGACATGTGTAGAAGTGAGTATAGTGTCATTAATAGGGCTGGAAGAATAGCAGGAATGTTTTGCGAAGAATTTATCATTATTAGATCTCGCTTGTAATTTATTTTGTATTTGCATGTTCATCTTAGGAAAAGTCAATTTGGTAGTAGTGAAGCTATTGAGAAGAAGACTTGTCGCCGGTGCTGGTCTCAAATTTGGACTGGAACAAGGTTTAAAACTACAAAAACGGGTACCTACTTTATATTGAATAATTTGTTAAGAAAAAATTCTGTTTTAATTATCCGTCTAGTTTTTGCTCAATAATCTAATTTTTGTTTGTACGGTGAAGGTAAATTACATGTAAGGAAATATAGCAACGATATATAACGATAGCATATAAGTACTACTTATATAACTACAAATCTTTCCTAAGACGCACCTACAGTTTTGCATTAAGTACTTCCAAACTCCAATTTCTCCAACGCGAATTTGTCTCTCGAACTCGCTTTGTCTCTCGCAGGCTTTACATTGTAAATTGTCTCGAATTCGAATATCTGTAAATTTTATTCGGGAAAATCAAACGCTCCAAAAGCTTTTTTTTGGTATATAACACGTTAGGATCAAAATATGTGCTTTTATTACAAGTATAAAATGACATGTCTTCGAAAGGAAAATTAAAAAATGACGGTAAAGCCGTTCCTTAATTCCAATTTATCTCGAGCATAATTGAGCATTTTTAGATATTCCAGTTGTACTGTAATTTTCGGTTGTATTTGCGTTTTTTGCTATTTCCACATTGGTTAAAAAACTTAATGCTTTCGAGAAACTGAAATTATTATTTATTATCATTGTCACATGTATGATTCATTTCATACATTTCAACCATATTGACAGGCAATAATTCAGGTAAATTATAAATTATTTTTCTTCTTAGCTTGCTCGATAAATTAGTATTAATCAATTACAATAAATTAGGTATGTTAATATTTATTTACAAACAATTACATTAATACACAATTATAAAGCAGTTCATCATTAAATAGATAGGAGTACATTCTCCTATTTCTTAAACACTCGTCCACCAAATCCAATTCCTGTGCCAGCTCCTACTCCGACACCACCGGCTCCTCCAACAATTCCTGGAGAAGCGACACCAAAACCTCCATTTGTGCCAAATTGCTGTTCACCAGAAACAAAACCTCCGTGGTTCAGACTACCATGACTTAGGTGATTGTTTGCGGCGTTGAAATTACTTCCTTGGCCAAAACCGCCTTCTCTGAACGATCCTTCCCTAAAAGATCCTTCACGGATATGCCCAACACTACTTTGTCCTTGATTAACGAATCCTCCACCCTGACTAAGACTTCCATGATGAAGGCCACTACTTTGTATTCCTCCAGAACTCCCAAAGGAACCTCCAAAGCTATGCCCAATCCCAATGTGTGGGGGAAGAGCATATATTGTCGTAAAGAATAGACAACAAATAATGGCGGATATCTAAAAGAAACATCATTTAAAAAATCTTTGAAATGATAATACTGTGTTTCTAACCACCCTCAAATATATAAATAATGTTTCAAACATTTAATTAAATACCTAATTGTTGAATTATTTTTTTTTCACATGAACTGGTTAAAAATAAAAAATTATTTTAAATATCTTACCATTACTTTTAAAGCCATTGCTAACTGTAATCACTTGTAAAGGGTACTGATGGTAATTGGAAGAGTACTGCTTCGAGAATGAGCTTATGGGGGATTGTGCTCGTATTTATACTCAAAATGGTAATGCCACTAAGGTAATTCTAAGAAATTCCCTTAATTATTTACAATATTAAATTAAGAAGACGTTTAATATTTCCTGTTTCAAATGTACACGTATATTTATTGTTATATATTGGATTTCGGATTTTCCTTGTTTTCCTAGTAATAAATTCACTTGTTTTTTTTATGTCATGTTACCTACAGAAGTATTACAGATGGAATTCATTATTTTTCATCGTTTATATTTGGCGACTAAAAATTAGGGTTTTCTAATTTGAAAAAATCAGCAACACAAATAATACATGACTTTTAAGTGAAAGTTAATTAAAAAGATATTGATGTACACTTACATATATAAATTTTAAGATAAATTCATCGTCATCAAGCGTAAATATCGAAATATGTCTGCAATAATTATATAGCTGTTTACTGCCATTAACAAGATTAAAAACGACCATTAAAAAATTATTGTTTGTCCTTCTTTTTTATGTATAAAAATAAATAAATAAGTATAGCATCATTTTAGGTTTCGTATTTTACATCAGCAACTTGGTGAATAAAAAAAGGAAAACCCAGCAATTGGCATTTTTTAGTAGTGCAGCAGGGGTGAAAAAATATATATAACTACACAAAGGTTACTTTTTTAGAATTGCAGTGCACGTCCAAACTTGATTTTTAAATGTTATGACGAAATATTGATCATGAATAAAATCATAAACATTTAGTACTTATTATAATTTTTGGTACTCTACAATGAAAATCTTCTATGGTTTTTAACTACGATATTTAACTACATTAAATACTGAATTTTATTGGAAAAATATTAAACTTAACAAAAATACATTTAGAATAACACTTAAATTAAAAAAATAATAATAAATAACTGTTAAATGAATTTAACTTTGCCTGTAGACCGACTAGTTGTTTTTTCAATTTCACCGACAANTCACAAACGCAATACAAAATTAGATTTTACATAAATAAATTAAATAATAATAATAAATAACGTTTACTAATATTTTTTTCCGCAACATATTTAACACTTCTAGTTTTGCCAGCATGGCTCGTTTAAAAATTTAAATCTTAAAATTATTCCTAAATCTAAAACAATCTGTTTTATCACTCTTGATCCTCCCTTCGGCTTTCTGGACATAAAAATGGCTTATCGCTATAGTCACCGAAAAAGGGTCTAAGTATTTTATTGTTATATTCCAATTTTAAGCTGGAGAATTTATCATGCATGTAAAAAATTTTCTACAGATATTCTCTTAATAATTGTTCAAAAAGATGTCTTTCTCATTAAATGGAATGCACATGTACTACCCTTTTTAAGGTTGCACATTAATATTTTTCCCAAACATTATACCTACCTGTAGGTTTTATAAGCGTAATAAAAGTTCCATTAATGCATTTATGTATCAGTTTGGTTTTCCCTGGTATAGGTATAATTATGGAACATCGCCTGCTGTTCGTTTGAATAAATTAAAAGGTAATTTATCTAAATACTGGGGATTAACCATAGGCATTAACCATCAGAGGCAGAATAACCTTCATTATGTTTTCTAAAATGTTTTGTCATGATCAGTTTATTTGGAATGAACATTGCTGTTCTGAAGATCATTGAACTTCTTATTCTACATTAATACGTATCTTTTCAAAGTCTCGGAAATTACTTTTATAAACTTGCGTTTTAAGCATACAGATGATGATACAAGAACTAAAATGTTTTAAAATGTACAGTGCTTTTCCAGTAATATACTCAAAAGAAAAATATTGTTCTAAACTAAATCCCTTATGTATATTTTAAGAATAAGTCGACCTATGCAATATAATTTTTTAAGATCCACATTGTGAATACTTCAAACTCCAACATCAAAATACGACACTGGTAATCATCCGAAGTACATACCATTTGGTAAAAAGGTCACCTTCTTCAGGGACTGAGTTCTCTTCAGTTTTCAGTGTCGTGTTTTGGCGTTGGTGTTTGAGATATTTAAAGTGTTCTAAAAATTCTCTAGTCTTCTAGATTTGAAATCCACAATAATCTTTCGTTATCACTCAAATTAATTGTCACATGATCTATTCACTTCGTATTTGTAAACATTATATTAAATAGTATCATTATACATAAACCTACATTATTTAGTATTAATAACGTGACCACACGTCCCGTTTTGTACGGGACCATCTGTTTTCGATTATCGGTCCCGTTGTCTCCAAAAAAGCTCCGAGACACACAATTATCCCATCTTTTGAAACTCCGCAAAAATTATGGAGCTCGCCGGACGCGTCAGTCAATTGGGCTCAGAAATAGGACAATCAATTTCTTCTAATTACGGTTCGTCTTTTAATGGTGAAATTGAAAGATAATGACACTAATATTAATGAAAATTTGTGATAAGTACGGCTACAGAATTTTATAAAACAAATCGTTAATATCTGGAACAGTGGACTTGCTCTCTACCGAAGAAGAAGAGGAAATGGAGATATTTCATTGGGCATAGGATGACAAAAGCTCTAATTTGATCGAAAAATGATGTATTGATTGTAATAAAGATTCAAACGTATTTGACGAATTTTTTTAAATTCTAACATCGCAAAAAATAACCGAATAGAATAATCTTAATGTTTCCACAGAAACCCTAACAGTATTCAATAACATTTGTATTTTCATTGAATATATTATTTGTTTGCCTGCTACAAATGAGTATTTTCTTTAATAAACAAATTGTGAACTTTTGAAAAACTTTAAAAAAAAAAGGTAGAGATTCCAGTTAAGAAGTCGATATTGATAACTAAGGTGAATATAAAAGAACGTGTCAAGAATTTTATTCTTACTTAAAAGCATTACCAGGTGTATTAAACCAAATTTGCCCTTCTAACAAAATAAAAGTGTTTCATAATATTTTCCATTTATAATAAAATTTAACTTTTTATAAATAAAGAACATAAAAAATGTATTTTTTTGTTTTTCATTATTAACCTGTTAATTGACGTAAATAAATCGAAGTCCCATTTTCAGTAAAAAATTAATGGTCACTTTAAGTATTAACTCCTGTAATCTTTGTCTTTCTATTCTGATATAAAATTATAATATATGTTAGAATAAGTGGATCCTCCTTATTTATACAAGGAATATTACTGTGTATGTACCAATTTTTTTAAGGCAAAGAATAAGATCGCGTTTTTAATTTATTTTTTTTTTTTCATAACACGCTATTTACGGTAACATTTTATATCTGATATAATGATAAATAGCTGGACGTTATCTAAACCTATAAACTCTATCCAAAAGTAGATTTCAATAGATAGTTTACTAAACTATTTTGATCCAATTAATTAGGTATCGATTTGAAATTTGGTATATTTCCAGGACCTATTTAGTAAAAATATATATTTTACGGAACTGATATTTGGTTCAATCCGTATTACTTATTTATTATTACACAATTTTGCAGTCGTAATTATTCTTTATAAGTAATTTATTGTACAATTAAATAAAATACAAAAATCGTCTTATTCTTTTTTTCGTCCTTCGTAGTAACAAACAGGTGTAGCATATGCTATTAAAAAAAATACATTTTTGAAATTCTTATGAGTCATCAATACAAGCAAGAATGCAGTTGTATGTTTCAAAATTTAATGGAAATTAGAGGAGTCATTACTTTCATCTTTCATTCCGAAAATAGTTAAATGTTAAATTTTGGTTACAGACATTTTGTCACTTATGTCTTTATTTACGTTGAATTAATTATAATAACTTGAGAAATAATAGCTTTAGGAGTAAATCACTCACATAAAAGTTAGAAAACCTTTAAAAATAAACCTTGTCAAAAAATGATTTTTTTACTAATTCACTGAACAGATAACTATTCACAATTGTGCACAGATTGGTTTATTTTTGTATTTAGTTAATTAAATCAAAACCTTATCATCAACTACCTACTTAAAATTGTATCTGGAACACAAAATATATTCATTGTTTTATTAAAGTGATTTAATATTACGTGCAAGATGAGAATAAGATGCCCTCAGAAATAGCATATATACGTAAATTATTCGAAACGTTCCTAAACAATTAGGTTTAAATTTTTGTTAATTTTGTTACAGAAATGTTTAATGTCAGTTCAAGTAATTAATAAATAGCAATCATGTTAATCATCACCGACATGGGATCTTTCCCAAGGACATATAATTGTGAATATATCCCACAGAATTTAAAAGTTACCAATGGTTCATCTCAATTCTAAGAAAGTTACCTCCGAAGATGAAGGCACAAGTATGAGTTCACGTTTATGGTATAAATAGGTTGTAATCATGAAAAACTGTTTAGTTTGTCTACAAATACGTCTAATATATAGCTTACAATTAGTTTTGCAATACCTAAAATACAATGGTAAGAATTATTATTCTTTTTATTTGAATTTTCTTGTACAATCAAGATTTTACATGCTTTTTAATAACTGTATGTTTTTATATCTACTTATTGTTTATTTTTCGACAGCTTTCGTGTCTTCCTTGGCTTATTTTTGTATCAGTAATTTACGCACATCCAACCTTCTTAAGGGAAAGATTTGGATTTCACCTTCCACATAGATTACATGGCGATTCATATAACCCAGGAAATCCTGGAAATTTGAATCATCCTCATTCAGAATGCAATCATATTCTAGGTGGACACTTTGAATCAGACCTTTTTGATAGAAATTATTTCGATCAGGAAAACCAAGCAAACGACGATAAAGAATATTTGCAACCAACATATTCTGTTCATGAAGAAATAATTGATGATATACCATTTAGTAATGTTAGTAATTTTGGAAGTGGAAAAACAATCAATGGTACAGATGAAAAAAGAAAAATTGATGAATCATTGCCAAGAGGAACTACAGAAAAAGAAGTTGGAGAATCTGTACCAAATATAGATATAAGATTAGGATTTAGATCTAATTCAGATAAAACTGGAGCGGTCACGTTTCAAAAATGATAAATGTTTATTGACGATAAATGGCATATTTCATTCTAATGTACAGTATTGCTTGAATAAAATAAATATTATCTAAATAACTTGTTTATCTCAATTTTAAATTCAGAAACAAGAACCAATATTTATTGTGACAGTTAAAGTAGCGCAACTTATACTGATGTGATGTTGATAACTTTTTTTATGAAGCTCGATGGTCATTAAATACTTATTCAATTGTTTTTTGCTAAACATATATCGTGTGATTTTACTATGAAAATTAGTACCTATATAACCATGTAAAAAACGCACTCTTCACTTTTTAAAACTACATCAAATGTTGGGAAAACAAAAATTCGCCTCTTAATTAAAAATTTATTTTGTCCTACTTTTACTTATTGACACAATAGATTTTTATTTGTTTGTTTCAGGCAATTATAAAGGCCAGACAACATTCTGTAAAAGATTGCATATTAAAAGCCGAGTTTCATTCAAGATAAGTACGTACCTACAATAAATTCTTATTAGGCATTTATTTTTTATCTCCATGCGTGTCTTACTTTAATGAAATCATAGAATCAATGAGAAATTATGCATTATTTTTATTATTTTTACCCAGAAAGGTACATGATTGTAAATAACAAATAGGTACTAAAAGAATAGTTTCAGGTTTTAAGCATGAAGTTGTAAGTAGAAACAAATATTATTTATTTTTTATTAAGATCTGTAAAAGTATTAAACAAAAAAAATGTAATTGAAGTATTTAGCTGTTAAAAGCACTACTCTGCTTGTATACTGTATTCTACTTACATTACATTTATTTTTTTGAATACTTAATGGACGTTAGTCAAAATGGCTATAAATAAAAAAAAAATTCTAATTACATTTTCAAAAGGTATTTTTAGTTAAATTTGAGGATTGTTGGTATATATATTATTTTTATTGGTCTAATTTTTATAATACTCTGTATATAAAGTTTGGTTAAATAAATCAAACAGATTGGAGACCAAATAATCATTGGATTTGTTGACTTTGGTCAAGGCCATTGTTGTCAAAAGGTTATTTTTCGGTTTTAAAACGCAGAAAATATAAAAATACAACTTAATTGTAAATTTAATATGAAGAGTTGAAATCCAAAGATTCTGCTATAATATCAGGTAATTAAATCAGTACAATCTTTGACTTATATCTAAAATTTCGTAATTTTATGTTGGATGACGTTAGGTTCTCACGTGAGTAAATCATTTTGCCCAAGAAATTTTAAAAACTGCATCTTAAAATCAAAAAGGAATGTTTTTTAATGCCAATTATTTTCACAGTATTTATGAGTATATTGTACAATTATGTTAGAGGGTCTTGTGGCATGGGTACTAAATAATTATCTAGGAAAGTATGTAGAGAATTTAAATACTGATCAGCTCAGCATTGCATTATTATCAGGTAATATTGTATAAGGAAAATATTTAATTTTCTTTTATTAGCATTATATATTTACTTCAGGTCAAGTTGAATTAGAAAATTTACCTTTGAAAAAGGATGCATTAAGACATTTAGGACTCCCTATTGAAATAGAAGCTGGTTTCATTGGTAAAATAATTTTGCAAATTCCAGTAAGACAAATTCGGTCTGCACCATGGGTTATCATAATAGATCAACTTTATGTTGTTGCAAGCCCATTATCTGTACAGGAAGTACGTGTAATTTATACTACATGCACAATTATAAGGAATATTTAATTTTTAGTGGGATTCAAAGTTAGAACATCTTACTGTTCACGAGCAGAAATTGAGTGCCTTAGATGCTTTAGAAGCACAGTGGCGCTTAGAAATGGAATCCAAAGATAATTCTGCTTACTATTATGCTTCAACATATTCATCATGGCTTAATTATGGTACTGGGCTTATTACAGATATCATAGAAAACTTACAGGTATGATAATTTTTTTAAAGATTAAATTTACTTTTACATACTAAAAAACATTTTAGCTTAAAATCCATGATGTGCATATACGATATGAAGATTGCTTCAGTATAACAAATAAAACAGTGGCTTTTGGTGTTACCATGGAATCTCTTTCAGCACAAAGTTGTGACTCAAATTGGGTACCTGAATTTACCCACTGGCACAGCTCTGCCGCTTCCTTTAAATTAATAGACATGCAAAAATTGGCTGTTTATTGGATAACTTTGGAACAAGGTCAAAACTATTCAAATATAGACATGGCAGATTTGAAGGTATCTTCCTCAAATGTTTGTAGTTGCATTGTTTTAAAATGTTCACTTGAGATTCTTTCCGTACTTTATATGAATTATTATGTCAATATTATGACTACTTTTAGGCACTTTTATCTCAAATTAAAAACAGTTCATTCAACCAACATTACATTTTGGAACCTGTTAGTGCTCAGGCTCATTTAAAGCATAACAGAAGTGAAAAACCACTGAGATCTCTTAGCACTCCACGAATTGTTTGTGATCTACAAATGGATGAAGTTGCTTTATCTTTAGTTGATGTAAAATCATATTATTTTAAAATTTCAACTAAATTTATTTTCAATTTATTTTAGTGGCAGTATGAGCAAATTATAAAATGTGTTAATGGTTTGGATGATATAGCTAGACTGAGGAAATTTAGGTTGTATAGACCTGAGTGTTCTGTAAAAGAAGATGCAAAATCTTGGTGGCTTTACGCTGTATGTTGCAATTTTAGCGATAAACTACCAAGTTTTTGTAAACCAAAACCTACATGGAATTCATGTCTTCAACGTGCAAAAGAAAATGTAGCATATGTTAAACTGTATGTGGATATTTTAAGTACTCCTACTATGGCACTTACACCGGATAATAAAAAATTAAAGGATGCAGTGGAATGGGATAGGGATTATAATGAATTAAAAGTCCTTAGAGAGGTGCATATATAAAACTTGAATTATTCTAGTTTCTTTTTGTGAAGAGTGGCAAGCAATTAGTAATTTAGCTTAGTTTATTTTTTTTTTTAGTTTATTGAAAACCAATATTACAATATTTACATAGCAAATATCCTCAGAAGGATATTATCCCTATTGAAATTGACTTCTGTTGAAAACTATTTAACAAAATTAGAAATTAAATTACCTCTATTTAAGAAAAAATAAACATTCAAAATCCATCAATTACTTGATATATTTAATTATATTACTGGTTTTCTTATAAATGAAACATTACAGAACATTTTTTATATGAAAATATTCTTGATTAAAGTACAGAGGAATTTAATTTTGTTTAAATTAGGTTATTATTTACACAAAACAGTTATGTTTTTAATATACTGAGGTAATTATCTTTTTTATTTCAATAAATAATTTTTATATTTAAAAAAAAATACAATTTTTAATATTATATTTAAGATTGCTATGAGAAAAGTTCCTGCAGCAAGTCTGAATACAAATACTACAAATTCAGCTGGTAGAGGTATTCTTGTCCGATGGTTTCCAACGTGGATGGGGTGGTATTCTTCAAATTCAAATTTAGGAACCACAGTAAGCCTTGATCACCCTCCAAGCCAATTGGAAGGCGAAATATTGGAAGCTCTTTCAGATTCTATAGCTAATAATACTCTTCTGAAAAGGGACATGGTATTTGGTCAATTTAATTTTACCTTAAACAGCGGTACCCTTAATTTATGTACCACAGGTGATAACGGTAATAGCAGGTAGCTAAATTATAGCATTGTTTAAATTGATTTGTGATATTAATACTAGAACTTTTTAGTGTTCCTATGATAGAGTTTCAATTCAAAAATTTGTCGCTAAAAGTAACTAGTTGTCCTAGAACTTCGTCGCATACTCTTGAATTATCTTTGGGAGCAATTTATCTCAGAGATAAACTTACGGAGCACAGTTTATTTCCTATCCTAGTAGGGCCACCTGATCAAGAAAGAGTAATACAGTTGACTCGTACAAAAGGTTCTAATCCCAAACTGTCAGCAAGAGGCGGAGGTGAAGAACGTTCTGAACCTTTATTCAGTTTATTATATGAAAAACGATCAGAAAATTCAGGCTGTGATTATAAGTGAGAATTTATTTAATCACCACTTTCACTTGATATAAACTACTTATTATCTTCAGGTTAAGTGTTAAGTCCAAATCATTAGATGTAGTCTACCAACCTTTAGCAATAAAGTGGTTAGTTGAATTCGCGTGTCATCCCCATCAAACGATAATAACCCAATCGAGCATTGAAGCAATGAAGACGCGTACTAAAAAAGAACTTATTAAAAATTGGGAACAAATAATAGATGGAAGATTGGTATTGTCTATTGCACGTCGTCATTTTCATTCTATTAATTTAATTTTTTTTATTTTAGAGTAGCAGAAAAAGTTGGGAATTGAATTTGGACATATCAACCCCTCAAATTATTTTTGTAGAAAAATTTACTGATCCTAATTCTGCAGTGGCTATAGTTGATTTTGGAAAACTTCATCTCCAAAATACCACTAACGTTGGAAAAAATGATATAAATGATCTAACGAAAAAAGACAGTGAAGATGATGGTAAATATCTATTTACCTCTAAACCTTGAAATAATAAATGTTTTTTTGTATTAGAAATGTTTATGACGCCTTGTTCAACTCCGCCGGGAAGCGAAGAAGATAATTCAGAAACATTAACTTCTGGCGTAACCCCTCAACAGCAACAAATTCTAGACGACGTTTTAAATGAACAATCTCTCCATCAGAAACTATATGAAAGTTATGCTGTCGAATTAACCGATCTGCAGGTTTTGATAAGCAAGGCGAAAGACAATTGGCGCTATGCTCATAATAAAGGAACATCACCATTACACGTTCTAGATCGATTTAACATATCCATGCAAATTGAACGATGTATAGTACATACATGTGACCCTCTTTACCCTAGTTTGACTGTGAATGCCAATCTGCCAAAGCTTGTAGCTCACGTAAATGAACAAAAAGTTGCAGCTGCCAAGTCACTTGTTGATAGCGTTAGTATTGGTAAGAAGAATGGTATTTGTTGTAAGCATATTTTCTTATACCATGAGCTTTCAATAAATTGAAAAATCTGAAAATATTTATGTAAAAAGGATATGGTATTAATTATACACAAACATCTTAGTATCTACTTTATCAAATTATAAGTTGTAATTTATTAAGAATTTTATAAGTAGCACATTCAAATAACTGAAATGTTACTTACAAATAACAAATTTTTAGATATTACCTTCAATTTTAAGTTTATTTAATCTTTACATAATTGAAAATCACTTAAAATAATTAACTGTAAGTCTCTTAGCCCTTTTACTTGACAGTGCTTTACCGCCAGGGTTGGCATGGCACAATCTTAATAAAACATGTCTTAAAGTGTTTTAAATACTGCTGTAAGCTCTGTTTAAAACAAAAAAACATCACATATTAAACATTCTTTATTTAACTAACTAATAACACGCCATGATAAAAAACTTGTTTAAAACATGTAAACATTGTTTAAAACATTTTGAACTGTTTTACAAATTAAAACCTGTTTTTCCAAACCCTGGCTACCGATACCACACATTATCCATTTGATTATACACTGATACAACGTTTTTAATTGACTGTTATTCGTTATAATATTAAAAGACTAACTACAATATTTCATTCACAGCGGGATTCCCATCTCCATTTAGCACACCTGAAAACATAGATTTAGAAAATACAATTTTCTCTGATGAAGATGAATCATCAAGTTTGGACATGAGTTTAGAAATGTCCAGATTGTTAATCTTCCAATTTTCTATTGACCAATTGGCGTTAGAGGTACAAAGTAGAGGTCGAAGTATAGCTGAACTTCAGGTAGCTGGCGTTAGGGCTTCATTCAGCAGGAGACCCGTTGACATCAGCATTAATCTCTCCGTTCACAGTCTACTACTTGTTGATGCTTTGCAAACATTCGGACCTGATTTTGAACTTCTAGTGGCTAGTCATAAACACGTAGGAATGGATTCGATGTCTGGAAGTCTTAGAGATAGTGAACCAACATCTCCAACGTCTCCTGCTAGTCCTGATCCTGGACATGTCTCTTCTATGAGTATAACATCTCCATTGGCTATTACACAAGCTCTAAGTAATTTGACATCATCTCCTCCACATTCGTTTGTCCCTTCTCCTCTTCCGCGACTTACAACTGCATTGGATTCTGAAGCGTTGATTACCGTGGAAATAGTTTTGATAACGGGACTGGAACCAATGCATATTGCTAATATTCAATTCAACAATCTTGATATAATTGGTATTTTTTACTTTTATTATTTTTTTGATATTTTAAAAGTAACTATTTGATTTTGTATTAGCTAACCAAGAAACCATTGTGGAACTTATGGGATTCACACATCGGGTATTCCCAGATATTAATAATAAGAAATACACCGGATTGCAAGTGAGACGACCTGAGGTTACTGCATCAACTGATACAATTGATGCCCCTGACGAATTAACTCCTTCATCTAATATTCGTCGCACAGAAATCACATTTGACTTTCATAGACTCAATGTTTTACTTTTGAGAGGCGTTGTTAAAGACGGTTGTCTTATTGGAAAAAAAATTGCAACAGCAAGTATGTGCGAAGCCAGAATACAGGCAACTGTTGGTAAAAAAATACGCCCTTTCAAATTTATTTTTCTTCAATATTTAATATAAAGAATAATTTTTAGACAAGGGGGTATTGGTAGAGGGATCTTTGGGAGGTCTGCAAATGGTTGATTTAACCTCAGAAGGTCAAATTCATCAAAGAATTGTTAGCGTGGGTCATGACCCCCTCTCTGAAACTCCGCATCCGATGTATTTGATGTCCCAGGCCAACCAGGACAAAGTGCATAAAGCATTTAGTTTTAAGATAAAAAGGGACGTCAAATCTTCTGAAAATGGTAAAATAAATAACATTTAAAGAATATGAGACCTTTTTATATAGCCTTTTATATTAGATATAGCCGATATTTCTATAAGAATGGCATCAGTATGGTATACACATTCGCCAACATTTATAGGAGAATTTCAGTCTTGTGCCACCGAATTTAAACAGTATTTTGCCAATTTGGCCAGGTCAATAAGGGCAGCAGCTACTGACATGGCTTTAGGGCTGGTGCAATCAAAGTAAGTGTTGTTTTCCTTGTTTCAACATTAAAGCTTCTTCACTGTTGTTATTATCTATTGTTACAGAACTGAAGCATTAGCCCAATCACTCTATATTAACTCAAGATTATCGTCTTCCCTGTATGGAAGTGCCATGTCGTTTTCAGATGCACTAACACCAAGAAAACGTTTTCGACGTTCCAGTTCCAATCAAGATCCTAGTGAGGGAGTTACTGGTTACTTCTCTGCAAGAGACACTGTTGATCAAACCCCTTACAGTCCAGAAGACGATGAAGATATTGTAATAAACATAAAGTAAGTCATTTGCTTAATAACGTGCAATTATTGAAAAGATGATGATTCTTTAAATTAATAATACTTTTATTTTTTTTTTCAGATTAGATGTAGTCTTGGATAGTCCTGTTGTTATATTACCAAGGTCGAGTAACAGTCCCGAAGTATTCGTTGCTCATTTAGGAAAAATTTCAGTCACAAATCGCAACGAAACTCCTGAAAACGGCAAATGGAATATTAGGACAGAGTACTATAATGTCGAAGTGAGAGATATGAATCTTTATTCCTTAGATACGAGTTCCAGAAGAACACCAGGTCCTATGTAAGTATACTGTAAACAAAGAGATAATATAGGTTAAATAAGCAAGCTCCAAAACTAGGATACTCTAGAGCTTTAATTAGAAATAACTAACTTTATAACGTTATCGTTACTGCTCATACTTTCATTAAAATTTGTATGGTTATAATAGAAGTATTTGAATTTTTTTTGGTACTTTTAATGTTAGGGGCACCTGATACAGCTTTTTGACCAATAAATATCATAATATTCTGACTTTTCCCTTCATCCTTAACTTAATAAGAAAAATAGTAGAAAGAGGAGCAGTAACTGGTTTAACATTTTATTCTCCTCTTGTAGTTAACGTTGCCTATAGAGGTGGTTTCATAGATCTTTCAATTTTTAGACTCCTCTTAGCTGGGATCTCCTCAATTTTAGGAGCAACTATGTCTGTATTTGTTTAATGTACATGCACCTTAAAGGACTATTTTATATTCAGGACTCTAATTGACAGACACAGCTGACTAACAACCGCACATGCTCAAAATAGAAAGAGATAAATGATGCTTGTTTGTTTTTTGTTTCATTCTATTAAGAAGTACATTACCGACAAGCTTACCTACTATAATTCTATTATGTAACTACTGCATTCCAGAACTAGTTTGGTGATAATTTTTGAAATTATATTTCTTTTGGCATATTGAGAGAAAATTATAACATTATAATTAGCAAGCAAGTGGCTAGTTTGAATGCGATATCAGAACTAATGATTCTGCTCTCGCTGAAAGCCTCTCTGTAGTCGTCGCTGTACGTAGATTGCTATTGAGACGAGTTCGCACCCAGGCCATCAGGGGCCACACTGCATGGTGATATTGTTCAAATAAATACATAATTTTAATTATGTATATGTCGGGTCTATAAATACTTAAATAGAATTATAGTTTATAACGCGTCTACATCTGCACATACACAAACTACCTTTTTTTTATTTTTTTTTTAGAATGAGTAAAGTGGATACTTTGTATGCGTGTGATTCACTGGCAAAACCGATTCTGTACGATACCATTTTACAGTTGAATATTGAGCGCGAAGTTAACATAGATCCGCAGTGTAGACATCGGAGTTTGTCAAACTTGTTAGAGGAGGATTACCAAACCGATTGTCAACCTTATGATGACGTCGCTGTTCTCGAGAATATTCAAGTGAGTTTAAAAAAAAAATAACACTAATAAATTAATACTGTATATCACCTCATAACGTTTGTATATGTTGTTTATTAGAAATTAATAATTAAAGCTGTATTTTTACTCACCGAGCTGCATTGCAGATATTTTCAAACAGTATTTTTATCCTTATAATAATTCTTGTTTCGTAATTAACCCTTTACTATTCACCATTTACACAAATGTTTGATTTCAATTGTATTATTAAATGATAATTCATTTCACCTTTTATAATCACTAATTCTTGATGATAATTTATTCATTTTCGAGATTTAATAGGCTCCTGATCTCCTTCACCATGATGGGAATGCTTATCGAAGTTGCTCATTTTAGTTTTATTGAAAATAATTATCAGAATTATCTTTAATTTGTCAAATCAGCGTATTAATCTTGCAGATTTCCGGTACATTCGTAACTTCGCTTAAACTATCGCTAACTCGTACGCAGTACGAACAGCTGCTGGCTACTTTACAATTTCTAACGACTTCGTTTAATTTGAATAATACTGAAGAAACTCCTCGGGCAAGTTCCCGCAACGTATCTTCTCTTGCAGATATTTGTGAGGAAGATACAGGGGTTACTACCCTTAAGATGGATCCCCACGTCCGGGCGAAAATGTTTACTGCGGCCCCCTCACTCAAAAGCAAAACATCCAAAAAACGACTAGTCACTCTGAAAAGTTAGTATTAAAAGAACTTTTTGTTAAAAGATGTATGTGGGCAATTTTGTTATTTCATTTATTGGTTTTAGTTCTTTTCGATCTTCCTTTATTTACTATTGAACTTCGGGGAGATTCACCTACAGGGGAGCAAGGTTTGGTTGATTTATCTTTCCGAGATTTTGTATTAAATTATGAAAAATGTCATCCTTATGAAACCAATATACAGGTTCGTTTCTCGTTTTCCTTTTAAGTAGTAATTTTTCTTAACACTGAAGAAATTATTAGGTATCTTTGCGTTCTGTAACAATGGAGGACCTTCTTCAAGCCCAAGAATCGAAACAACGAGTAATGGTTATTTCTTCGGACGGGGGTTTGCCCTGTAAACCATCGTGTGTATCTAGATCATGTCCAGAAGGTTTTGGATATTTTCCGACCCAAAGTATGTCCCACTGTTCCTTACCTGATCATTTAGAACCAGCCAAAGTTTTGGGAGTAGATATGCTCAGTAAAATTTCCCGTCATGCTGAAAAGCGCGTTAATGGTTGTCCTGACACACCCCCTCCTTCTCCCAGTGCGAAAGAGAGACCTCAAAAAAACCTTGTGCTAATTTCAACACTTTTAGTTGATCCTAGTGCTCCTAATTTTAAAACACATTATAACTCGGTAAGTTGAAATAATTGTAGTACTTGCTGTACTCAACATTAATTTTGGAATCTTAAAAAAATCTTAAAACTATCTAGAAAAATTTTAATACCTGTCATTTAAGTTATTCAAGCAAAAATAATTTTGTTAAAATTCACGTAAATATGTTTCTAGGTTGAAAGATCGACATCTGTTGATTTTAATTGCCTTGATTTAGTAGTTAATGTAGAATCATGGGTAATTGTTATAGACTTCTTTAGTGTGACTCCTTCTGATTACAAACAGGCTCATAGAAAGGACGAAGAATCAAAGGCATTCACTAAAAGTGATAATAAATTTTAATCATTATCTTGCAGATTTTTTGTATAAATGTCTGCATTTTAGATATTGTAGAAAAAGAAAACGAGGAAACTAACATTTCGATACGCTCCCTTAATGTAGTATTGGTTAAACCTCAAAGCGATCTCGCAAAAGTAAATATCTCCCACGTCGAAGTTTGCATTAAAACTGATGGAATCCAGAAAGAAGTGAAAGGACATTTAGGTTCTATGTCTCTATTAGATTTAACACTACATGGTCAGTTATATAAAGAAAGATTTTTAACATCTGGAAAACAAGCTTTGCTTTTTATTTATACGAGGTAACAATTTGGTTCATTTTTACTGAGTCTTGTGTGGTTGTTTAACATATGCGGCTTTGTAGATTTTCTCCGAACAAAGTCTTAAATTTTGATGCACAACTTAAATTGGAAATGTCCTCAGTTTCATATGTTCACACGAAACGTTTTGTGGCAGAACTACAAGCGTTTTTTAATCGTTTTACCCACCTACAAGCAGTAATGCAAAGTATTAGGACTGCAACTAGTAGACAACAAGTATAAAATTACTTAAAGATATAGACGATTTTTTATTTCTGAAATACAATCATTTTAGAATACGAATGAAATTAAAAAATTATCCGTAATTTTGGAAGCGGAAGCTCCGGTTCTCTATTTGCCAGTTAGTTCAAAAAGTTCTGACCTGTTGATAGCTGATTTAGGGCATTTAATTGTTACCAACGATTTTAAATATTCTGACAATGAAGGTGTAATTAGTGTTGTAAAAAACAAAGAAGCAGGTGAAATTGTTTTAAAGATTAGTTTTGTAGCTTATTTATCATATTTTTGTTATTTATAGGCAAAAAGTGTTTATTGGATATAATGTTCATTGAACTTCAAAACGTAGACTTATTCACCGGAGTTAGGGAGACAAGTTCTAGTAAAACAAAGACCATAAATGACACTCACGTGATTTTAGGAAGTTCTGTTATAAGACGAAATGGTGCATCCCTTTTGAAAAACAAATGTCACCTAAAAATACAAGTGGAAAGAAATCTATTCAGCGATATTTATCATACTGGTATAAGAACCTACCACAAATTAGTATCATATTGATAATATTTTATTTATTTTAGTTCCAGATATGAGTATACAAGGGGAATTATCGACTTTAGACATTACAGTGGACGTACAACAATATAAACTTATCAAAGGGTTACTTTTTTACAATTTGGGAGAGTGTACTGAACACATTTTACCCTCTGTTTCAAAGTCTAATTTGGAAGTAATAAAGGTATTTAGTGAAAATATACTTTCTTTGAACTTTCAACTGCACATTTTTTAAATACCTACTTTTAATAACATAAGGAATTAAGCTGAGTTTTTTATATAACTGATGTTTCCTTCTCCTTTGCAATAATTAAACTTTAAAAAAAAATAAGAACTTATATTTTTTAGCCAAGTGAAAATGTATGGACACTTCTCTCCATAAAATTCAATCTGATGAATGTAGTACTTGATTTACATACAAATTACAAGTCTGAACCTATAGCTCGTGTGAATTTTATCAAATCGCAACTCACTGTTGAGTCCTTTAGTAATTTTAGTCAAGATGTTGATTTAGTATCTCAAGAGATCGTAGTGATAGATACTAGATCTCAAAACGAAAATTCCAACAAGCAAAATGTATTTACAAACATTCTGCAATCCATCGTCTTCAATTGCCAAGACGATCTTGTTCAATTAGAGGTTCATAGTAGGAAAAAGCAGGACAAAACGAAATTCACTATTCTTTTGAATAACATGCGCTTGATGACAATCTTTGATTGGTGGGAGTCTGCAGCGAAATTTATTTTTGCAAATTATGAAGAGGAGCAGCCAACCTCACCTACTCACGAATCTTCTAGTTTGAAGAACGAAAAAGGATCGTTTGAATTAAAACTCAATATTACAGATTCTGAGATTGTCATGGTGCAAGACATTTCTCAGTGGGACACAAATGCTGTAATTTTAAAGGTATTCAGCGAAATTAAAATTTAAAGTTCCATGCCATAAAGTTTTTAAATTTTAACTCTTACCTTATTTTTTGTTTAGTACCAAAAACATGTGATAAAAT